GTGCCCGGAATCGGCGTCTCTGAAATCATTCAGTAAAAACATCATGTGTGTGGTCCTGCCTCTGAACTCGTGTGTGTGTGCGTGTGTGCTCTTAAGATTAAACTGCAAAGAATTTTGTTAGGGGGTGGGGGAAACTGATCTGCCAATCTAATTTGAGAGCACAAACTAACAAAGATGTAAAATAATTAACATTTTAACTTTAATGGCTTTCAAAAACAGCACAGAAAACACAAAATACATGCATACCTCTTTGCTTAAAATCAAAACAAACAAACTCCACTGAAGACAAATGACTAATTTGTTAAGTCTCTCCTGAAACCTGCCAGATCTCACACTGGGGACTAAAACACATGCACACACACAATTTTACAGCTAATACATTACAATCTGTAGGGGAAATGTCTCACTAACTGTCAACAGCAAACCAACAGCTTCATAGCTGCCGGTGCTCCTGCCTCTTAGCAATTATTTTTGCTGATTTGCGGCCTTCATGCACACACTCATCTCCACACATTATGGCCCAATTCCCTGATAAATCAACCCTAACAGGTTAATCTGAATGAGCCCAAAGTAAGGTAAGACGAGGTGACAGTGTTTTAAAAAATGGCAGGCAGACATCTGGTGATATACGATGGAACTGAAATGAAGGAACAGGGTTGAGGAGGGCGGTGAAACATCGACTGCCTCTGCAGCTCAGCCCTCCAGTTAACACTGATGCTGAATGGTACCTCCAGCAACAAGCTGTGCCCTTGTATCACTCTAAGTTTTTAATGAGAGCAGCTGCTCCCAGCAGAGCTTATCGGTCCAGCACTGGGCCGACTGCCTCTACAACAGTTTCCATGACATTTTAGAAATGTTTTTGAAAAGGGCAGTAAAGTTTGTATAACAGCATGAAGTTAATAGATTACTAATGGCTTATTGATAGCATGGGACTACGGTGCTACAGTGGAATTACACAGAGACAATAAACCCTAAATATAACTCACACATAGTATCACTCAAAAACATACAGTAGATTAAAGTCTTGGTTTTTAGGGAGTGTTCTACTAGTCAAGTGGAAGTCAACACACATACAGCACTAAATCAGTTCTGGTTAGGATCAGTATGTTTCCTCAGTTTTAGATCACTGTAAATTGAATATCTGTGGGGTTTAAATTGTCGGTCAAACAGAGACAATTTGAACACATCACTTATTGCTGAAGACCTACTGTGCAGCGACATGCAATTAGCTACCATTCATTTTCTACGAGACACAAGCAAATTGCTTCTCAGAGCATTGTGGGATTCCATGGCGACTGAAGGGGAGGGGGTCAGAAGTTAAAAATGTTTAACTATGCAAATGAAGGTGAAGTTTACCCGGAAGTGACAGTTAAAACTGAGGATGTGGCTTGTTTAGACACAGGTGAATGGTAAAACATCTGTGGATGACCTAATAATAATAGTGTCTCCTATATGACAACGAGTGACGAATGCAGCTATAGAAACTGTCAGATAAAGCGAAGAGTTAATTACAAGGAGCCAAGTTAACTACACAGAGGAAAGACCTGCTAACTGGCTACCATAAAAGAACACTGTTACATGTCACTGTGTCGCCCTGTTTCGACACGTCTATAGTAACGGCTGAGAAGTGGCGTTCAGTGGGTTTTCAACATTAGGCTCATGCAAAATCATTAACTGATAAAAATGTCACACTGAAGATGAAAGACAGTCATTTCCATAAAAGTGATTAACCAACAACATGACTCACTGTAACTTGTAAAAAAAAAAAAAAAAAAAAGCAAAGAAAAAATATTCAGGTGGTGTTGGACACCAGTTGGCTTGTAAAGTCAGAGGAGAAAGGCCACTGAAGTGATGAAGTGAGTCCTGGTACTTTGCCAATTAAATGCTCACTCTGTGCTGTTTTGAAATAAAACAGTCAAACAGCATGAGGAGGAGGAAAAAGTGGAAGTAAAAGCAGAAGCAATCTGTCATGTAGAAGAAATCAGATCAGTTCAAATACTGTTTTTCTACAGTTCAATCATACGGTATAAATCGAGAAACAACCAACATACATTGCAACTCCATCACTCTATCCACCGATACGTTTTTATTCTCCTGCTCTGACTTCTTTCTTTTTCTCACATACACAGTGATTGATTTTTCCACACTTTTGCCATTTCTCTCTGTGCCACTGCAGCCCTGCTGTTTCCCTTCCCTGTTTGGATCTTCATTTCCTCTCCTGCTGCTCTGTCTTTCATGTCTGTTTTTGACAGACACATAAACTCAGTGTCTCTTCCTCTGCCGCCCAGGGACACAGACCACAGTCTGCTGTTGAGCTGCCTGCTCACCAAGTGCATCTGCAGGTATTTTCTGGAATGAGTTCAGCCGCATACTGCAGAGCTGAAGGCTGATTTCCAGCCTTCCTATACTGTCTTGGTATATGTCTTAAATCAGAATTCTGTGTTCAGAATTTGTCCAAACAGTCAAGCGTCCTATAAACTACTCATTATAGCATTGACACATAAACAGTCATTACCTGGTCCCGTGCAGACAGTTCACATGGATGAAATGAATGGTTCTTCAAAAGTAAAACTCACTGACAGTATATAAATCAAATGTGACATACCACTATGTACACCAGCCTTCTCTCTGTAATGTAACATGATAGTCCGTCAGCACTGCACAATAGGAGGTTTTCCTGTTTTTCCCATTCTTGAGATGAATGTTGATTTTGTACCGGACTAAAAAAAATGCAATAATCAAATGTGGTCACACTTGTGACCTCGGAATATGGTCTTATCTTTCTCTTGTCGCTTACCTTAGGATCAACATTAACATTTTTCCAGCCAGAAAATCTGTGCATAAAAACTGTTTTTTATTCAACATTTTGCAAACTATGCCTAAATACACACACACACACACTTGTTAATCAGTCTGATGTGCCACAGTCTGAACCTGACACCAAATACTTTATGTCTAAATGTAAAAGAAAGTTTGATTTAGGGGAGAAATTGCAAGTGGCACCCAGGTAATTTGAATTTGAGACAAAATTCCATAAAGATATAAATTTTGCTTCTACTCTTCAGGGTTCAGAAGGAACAAGTCATAATATTAAAGAGGAACTCCATGGGTTTTACACATAAAAGGCTGTTTACTAATACTGCATATGTGAAAAAATATGCATCACTTCTTTTGTGTCTCTATAGGGAGCTGTGCAAAGTCTGATCAATGTCAGGCTGGATTAGCTGGTACAAGCATTACATGCCCAAATCTCTGCACGAACTGCTGGCAGTAGAACTGCACTGTGGGTAATATGGGTTTTAACAAGGAAGAATGATGCATGGACTGAAAATAAAATATGTATGGTTTTGCTCTGTGCTGGAGGTAGGTTAGGGTTGGGGGGGGGGTGACATAACGCTGCAGGGGATGGAAATGGTATGATCAGCTCTAGGGGTGTGTGATATCATATTAAAGGCTTCTTTGTGCCATGAATGCTGCCTCCATTCAAAGCAAATGATCAAAGTAAAACCGATCAGTCACATACTCTCTCTGAAAATTACAGGTACAGAAAAGACCTTAATTGCTCAAGTAAACTTAAAACCATGACTCAGTGTAATGATAAATCTGTAGTCACTAAAGTACTGTGTAAATGAAGTACATGGTGGCACTATCTGCAACAAAAGCTAATGTGATCTTCTTTGGCCTATGGCCTTAGTTTCCAGTGAACTTCAGTGAAGACTTAAAGTTTTTGGGATATCCTACCTAACTGGTCATGTACCCAACGCGTCAGCAAGCTGTCTTGATGATTTCAATGCACAGGTACAAATAATAGTCCTGCTAAAATGAATAAAGGGATCATATGCTTGTACAGTCTGTCTGACCAAATGTGCCTGAGAGGGTAAAGCTGGGTTAAGGCCTTAAGGAGCCTGCTCAGCACAAAGCCTCTCTCCCTGTCTCACTCTCTTTGTAGAGGGGCTGATCAAAGAGCGGCACACCACATCAGGAAGCTTCTGAGCAGATGAATATGGACATCCCATTATGTCTCCCAGTGGGGTACGCTGAGGGATGTGAGTGCACACTGCCTCGTGTGCCTCTGAGCAACTGTGAACAAACCTGTGAGTGTGCACTTCAGCTCTGAATGCCGGATTCTGTACACGTTTGAAAACACTTCAGCTTGGAGGAGAGGAGTGAATGATGATGATGAAGGGTTTTTGAAGCATCTGAGCATGCTAACGGTCCGCAGCTGTAATCGCTAATGAGGAAGGCAGGGTGGATCTGTGCGGCGCTGCCTGTTTATTCAGATGAAAATCAGAGGATCAAAGGTTTTCTTTCAAATCATCACTGCTTTTGTCTTTCTGTCTGTGTCTCTGTGTAACCTGAGACGAACCCTGGCTCACCCCTGCCCCAACCATACCCTTCCAAAAAAAATGCATGGACCTGTCAACCTCTTAATCTTTCTTCCTCTGCTGCAGCAGGATAAAGTGCACTGTCACTGAAACAGGAAACCTGGATTCAAGCTCCCACCCTAAAGCAAATCAGCCACCTCAGTGGGTGCTCTTCGGTGACCTGTGACCTCCCTGCTGATGGAGGGATAAAGCTAAAAATGATTTGACTGGTGCCATGTCGACTATACAGCACATTGGGTTTGATTTTATGATTTGAGCTTTTCTCATTTCTTATTATAAATAAGGCAGAAAAACCAAATTCTGTGCATCTTTTTCTGTAGATATGAGTGTTTGCACTAATGTACAATAAATTTGCTTAATTTAAATGTCATATTAGATGAGAATGATCAGGCTTTCTACCAATACATTTGGTTTTACTTTGGGTTTTGGGGAAATTCCTTGATAAGACACTTGCTGTGGCTTTTTATCCTATTTTAAGAATGTGTAAATCAGTCCTCTCACCGTGTGCCAAGGCACCACAAATACAAGTTATTTGTGTGCCTGTACGTGTGAATGTGTGTGCTGGAGGGTGAGGACGCACATGTGTTAAGGTGTATACTGTATATTGTCACTTACCTCATTCTTTGATTTATGTGTCTGCAGCTGGGAAGTGTATGCGAAGGTATTCTCTGGAGTGACAGTCAGCCTGCAGAAGAGGAGAGGGAAGACAGGGTTGGAGGGAGAGAAATGAAGTAACACAGGCAAAAGAGACAAAAAGCAGGAGAGACACCATATTTAACAAGTTGTCACAAGCTGTTGTCAGTTGTTTGACTGTGATGAGAGGTGAGCGGGAACGCCCTCATCCACCGAACACATCTTCTCACGTTCAAAATTAAAACTGAGTGTCTTACAGCTGACTTCACAGAGAACAAACTGAGCTCTTCTGCTTGCTGCCAGATGTGACAAACAACATAAATCAACTTTAATGGTTTCCTATACTATTTTGTATTTTTTCCATGTAGGATGCAAACATGAATCTGTTGTCGCTGTAAGGTTTCGTCTTCAGTAGGAACAAAATGTTAAACTTTTCAAACAACAGCAACATTTTAGAGGTGGGATTCACCTGCAAAATGTAAATACAAAGATGCAAAATGACACTTTTGAGACTTAAAATGACTTCGCTGGCGTTGCATACACTATCATTAATTGTCCCAACATTCATTAAATTTTCCGATACAAGACAACTTACTAACCTTAACTAACTGACTCTAAACGCTGTCACTGAAAGAAGAGACAGGCAGCAGGAGCCGCTGGGAGCAAACATATGACCTCTTAGCGAAACCTGACAAGTGCTGCTCCAACAACAGGACCTATGAGGAGGAGCTGTTCGTCTTTGACAATAAGAAAATTGTCTTACTCTTTCACATACTGTTTCATAGACATATGCGTTGTCTCATATAGATACGTGGCCACTGTAAACCATATATTATACTGCCTGACACACTGAATTTTTAGGCATTGTGTTTTAATTTAGCAAATGAATTCAGTTTATTTACATAAACACTGTGGCTTTGCTCAGCGTCTGGTACATGTGTACAGTAATGGTGAGAAGAAGTGCCAGGCCAACATGTTTTCTGTAGGCGGTTTACAACATGACAATTATACAAACGGTGTCTGTTCACTCGTCCTTGGTGGTGTGCAACTGGACTATAGACTTAAGCTTTCTTATACTGTTCATTTCAGATGACATGGGTAAACAGCAGGGGAAGAGGAGGAAGCATCAGAGGAAGGATGAAGGTAGTACAGAGTGCAAGATGGCGCCACTAGAGGAGAGGACGAGACTGATGAGAGAGGACAACTTAACAGAAAAGTTTTTACTACAGCAAGACAGACTCACAGCGGTAGAGCGCAACATAAATGCCCCCAAATTGTATTAAAGAAACAATCACATGTATGTCTGGTAAACAAAAAAAGAGAGCAGCTAAAAAGATCGGGGACAAAATGAAGGGAAATAAAAAGGTATCTTATCTTATCTTATATACAGTATATCTTAGCAACCACCTAGAAACAGCCTTGCAACCACTTGATCAAACAAGTCCAGTAATTCTGGACAAATCATAACTTGGATGACTGAGAATCTCCACAGACATTGTGCTTGGTCTTAAACCATTCCCACTTGGCCTCTCCCAGGTCAACCTAATTTAATCAAGGCTAACCTAACCATATGAACCTATAACAAAGGAGAACAAATAAAGAGAGATGCCAAGGGAGAAGGCAAACATGTCTGATGTGGCCAGAAGGATGTAAAGACAAGGCAAATATCCAGAAAGACCTTAGCACCTGCACAGACACAATCAAATAGCACTCTTCATTCTCCTAACCTGACCCGTGCCCGCCCAGGCTAACTAATTTAGCCTAACCCAACCTAACATCACTCCACTTACATGAACTTACGCTAAATGAGTCTTATCTACCTTACCCTTACATTAACGTAGTCTAACTGAAACAATCTGAGATGAACTGAAGGGACTTCACTGCTGTTACCACAGAGTTGTTGGGATTTACTGTAAAAAAAAACGTTGTTCCGGTAAAGTCACAGTGTTTATTGTCATATGCACAGTACGGAAATGCGTTTTCCTGTACAATGAAATTCTTACTCTGCCGTCCACATGAATGTCACACAATACGTAGTAGAAGTTGTTCTAACTGGTCTAACAATTATATGTTACATAATAAACAGCATAATAATAGATCATAGAGGCCAAAGGCTGCAGTAACATCTTACATCAGGACTAAAATAACAGGCCTACATGTGTTGACAGGGTCACACAAATACTTCCTTATAAAACTAGCCAGTGAAATCATTAAATCGAATTAATCTGTAATGAGTTATTGTACATTGTTATGGATTGTTTTACACAAATTGTTGATGTGGCTGTGTGAGCAGGAGTGCAGCTAAAACGTTCCTCACACTCCTCAGTCACCTGAGGAACGTGTTCACTGCTCTTGAACTCCTTCTACCCTGATGATACATGCAGTGCTCTTCTCCTGTGATAAAGCCCAGACAACATCCTGCCTCTCCTTCGTCAATCTTCTGATGGCTTCCTAGAACGTCCTTGCAGCCTTGCTGAGCTCCTCCCCCACAGTAACTTTTGCCTCCTCCAGTGCTAGTGTCCACCACTACAGTGGAGGTTTATCACAGACCCTCTGTGACTCTGTTACATGCTGAGGGAGAGTGAGCGCGCAAAGTACACTGCGCCTGGTAGTAATTCCAGTGCTATGATCAAGTTAGCAGATGATACCAAGGTGGTCAGATCGGCACCCTGCCCCCCAGGAGGCGCCAGAGGAGCCTCTGTTCAAGGAGCAGCAGACCTGCAGCTGCTGTGTTTAATTAATATCACTGATTCCTCTTTTTTCTTGATAACCATGATTAAAATAAACAACAATGGCAACAACATTACTCTTTCAGTGCACTGATTCATATTTATGAATTTAGATTATGTTTTTATCATGTAAGTTAAAAAGCTGCAAAATTGTCTCTAAAAGTCCAAATAGTCAAAGCCAAACTTAAAAGCCAAACTGTAAAAATGTATAGTCTATGAATAATTGTCGTTTACATGGTCACAGACAGACAGGTGACAAATTAAAGGCAAAACCTGCAGGTCACAGACACAGATACGTATACATGATGGCTCATACAAAGGACAGGGCGAGATGAATCCCAGGCGTAAACTGAGGTGACACCTAATGATCTTTGGAAGACGTTTTGGTTTACAACCTAGGAGTAAATGCTGAGAGCTGGCTTAAATACTGAGTGGCTGATTAAACTGATAGAAGATTCAGTGAAGCTGTTTCGGTTCATTAACCTAGCCTCACCTGATCAAACTGTCAATCTGATACAAGTTATGCAAGGCAGTGAATTGCTGGCAAGGACATATGTCTGTGTTTGTATGTGTGGCTTGGTATTACTCATGTTGTGGGGATGTAAATCAGTTTACACAGTCACACTGTAGGGACTCATTGTCCTCATGGTGACAAAAAGCAAGTGCCCAAAAGATAAATCACTACATTTTAACAGTGATGACTTGGTATAAGGTTAGGGTGAGGTTAGAGTTAGGCAAGTAGCAGTTGTGGATAAGGTTAGGGTAAGTCTCCAGAAAATTAATGCAAGTCAATCTAATGCCCCTGGAAATAAAGAAAACACAATAGGTGGATATGCATATCCACAACTGTATTATGCATTTGTATTATTGAGGAGAAACACTTTGGTACTAATGAAAGTGAAGCTACTAATTCAGAAGAACAATCACTTTAGACACACTTCAAAAGAAATTACACTGACTTACATCATTTGCTGGAGACCTTCAAAATATAATCACTACTTGCCTAGTCCTCACCCAAAACTTTAATCATTGATAAAATGTTTTTTCTCCCCCAAACTAAGGTGTCTCCACAGTGTGACAGTGTAAACAGTTACGGTACTGTATGTCCCCATGACATGAGTAATAGAAGTATACACACACGCTAATTGAATCGATGCTTCAATGCCTGGGTGTGTTGAATTATCCTCATTATGTTTATTGAACCATCTACACATAAAGTGCTTTAGTGAAGCAAACCATGTTAAAACTGCAGTGACAAACAAGCTAACCTGCTGTAGCCTACTGTGGGTAGAAACACTGAGCTGAGGGGCAGACCCTGGCAGAAGCTAAAGCTGTAAAAATGTTGAAAACCCCACAACAGAAGAACAGCAGGTTGCAAAGTGCTGATTTACATGGAGCCATAAAAAAAAATCCCCATGGCTGCTTGAGCTGGGCTTCCATGTAGACACACACGCACGCAGACCAGATAAAACAACAACAACAACACGGAACAACCCACCTACTCAGTCACATCCCACTTGAGGGATGTAAACCCACAGACAATCTTTTGATCTGTGTCAGCAAAACCACACTAATGTGTTCCATTTATCACAATAGTATTCATGATCACTGGATCTGCTTTTACCCATGCTAGCAACATCCTCTGTCTGTCAGGTGTGGTTTATTAGATGGATTACTCTGACATTTTGTACAGACATTCATGTTACACTCAGGATTGTAATAAACTCAGTGATCCCTGACATTTCATCTAGTTCAAGATTTTTTTTTATTGTCAATTCACCATATGTGTAGGTCGTACAGAAAAATCAAAGTACTGTTTCTCTCTCAC